CTCCCTTGTAGGAGATTCAGATAAATCTATGAAACAAGTATTTTCATAGCTTCGTAGCAGAAAGTTTCATTCAGAAAGATTATTGTTTGTCACGGTAAAGATTGATCATACTTTATTCATGACCAGATGATTTCTGATCTGTTCTCCATTTGGGATATTTGACCAGAAAGTGTTCCAAGACATTCTTGATTGTTTCATCTTTGCTTGAATAAAGAACAATACTGTTGCTTTCTGAAGGAATTATCTGGTTCTCATAAAACAAAAACTTAACATAAAGGCTGTTTGAAGTGCACAGTAAACCGATTCTTAAATCATATTAAATTACAGAATTGTTTTCCAAAGAAAAAAAAACTGAACTACACGACTTTGAAGTCATTGTACCAAGGTTTTTCCTACTGATCGTAATGAACTTTAGCTATGTATTTCTTTGATTATGATGATGCGCTCCATTATGCCTGTCTCTCTGTTGGTGCAGGTGATAGAGGCTCAAGAAGACATGCCTATTGCCGGAGTGGTGACATTGTATTCATCCCTTTTGACATTTTCTCTTCATGTCCACCCTGATCGCCTTGATTATGTAGATCAGATTCTGGTAGGTTTCTCTCTTTCTCAATAACTAGTTGCTATAGGCTCTATGGTTTTACTTTTTGTGTTTTCCAAGTAAGTGTATCACACTTATTAGTCTGATGCTTTTTTTTGGATCCAAAGTGAATATGTGAAATTTATAATACGGTACACTAAAACAAGATATGTTGAAGTTGAAACTTTTCATCCTTTGAAATCTATGTCTATTTAGACGATTTTCTGGCCTGCCTGGTTCATGTGGAACCTGTAAAGATCACACTCTTATTCACTTGCAGGGTGCATGTGTACAGAAACTTTCTGGAAAAGGAAAGCTCAAAGACAACAAAGCAACAAAACAGATAGTGGCCCTACTAAGTGCTCCTCTGGAGAAGTATAAGGATATAGATACTGCGCTAAAGCTGTCAAATTATCCTCGTCTTATGGAGAATCTTGACGATTCAACTAGTAAAGAGATGGCTAATGTTTTAGTACAAAATATTTTGAAAAATAAGACTTGCATTTCAACTGCTGAAAAGGTTTGATTCTAGATAATTTTGTGTACTTCAATTTATTGCTTACAAATGTTACCCATGTTTCTACGAATTACTGGTCTTATCAGGTTGAGGCACTTTTTGAGTTAATGAAAGCACTAATTCGAGATTTGGATGAGGGTGTTGATGATGAGGTGGACTGGAAACTCTGTGCTTGCATAAAAGTTCCTTAGTTCTTTCTTATATTTTCCTTTCATCACATATTTAAAATTAGTTTGTGCTGTGCCTTAAATTCTTTATCCTCCAATTTTCAGCTTGATGAAGATGATTTCCAGGAAGAGCAGAATTCTGTTGCGCAGCTTATTCAAATGCTTCACAATGATGATCCTGAAGAGATGCTGAAGGTAATTATGATTTACTTTCTTTTGAATTACTTGTATACTCCTTTTATGGATTAATTACTAGCTCTTGCAAGAGAAGACAGTAATATTCCCTATTACCCTCTGAGTTTATCAGAGAGATAAATAGGAATGAGCTCTTGAGTTTTGACATTAGTTGCAACTTGTATGTGATGAATTGGATGTATGTATAATGATCTACTGTAGTGTTAAGTTTTCACTTTATTGTGAAGGAGGAAAAACAAAATAAGAAAATGATGAAAAGTCACTGCCAACACTAGGGAAGAACTTTAAGCTGATCATGATTTGCTAGTCTTATCTTTTCATTTGGGGGATAATTTTACAGAAATTAGAAAGAAAAAAGACGTCAAACACATAATAGTCTTGACTATGTGTCCCCGATTAGTCTGTATAGTAAACATATAAAAGTAAGTATAAAAAATAATTAAATAACAACATTGGCATTTCCATTTGATTAAAATTTCAAGGTAACATTATTAGAAGTGTGAATCTCCAGCATATCCTTAATGCTAAGGAATACAACAATTGCAGTTTCCAAAAAAAACAAAAAACAAATATATGAAGTGTGAATCAGTTGCTGTAACATGTGCTTTGTGTGTGAGCTATCTTCAGGACAGTATGCAAGGTCCATCTTTTGTGGACTCTGCAACTTCTCAGCCTTGTATCACAAACTGAGCTTGTAACCAAAGTGAACAGCTCCTGCCTCTTGGCTCTGGAGTTATCCCCATTTTCTTTTATATGATTGTTTTTGCTCAAGCAAAGCATGCATCTGGTGATAATGTTGTATGGTTTGTTTCTATGTGGCTACAGTGTTTGTTTTCGTAGTTGTATAAAAAAGGTGTTGTTTTCTTGCTTCAAGTTCATATAGTTTGCTATTTCATTGAATTGCAGATTATTTGTGCTGTGAAGAAGCACATTTTGACAGGAGGGCCAAAGAGACTTCCTTTTACTGTCCCTCCCCTTATTTTCAACTCACTAAAGGTTTGAATCTGCAACTTAAGGGCTAGAAGAGAAGGCTGGTGCTCAAATTCCTTTATTTTTCTTAGTGCAAAGCTGATGAAGGGGACTTGTTCAAATGTAGCATGTCGGGATGATCCTTCACCTATGGAACTACTCACTCTAAGAACAATAAATATTATATATAATCCCCCATTGGTCCCCATTAAAGAGAATAAAGAGAGGATTGAGTTTCTTCGCAAATAAAATTGTCCTACTTTTGTTGCACTGCTGATGTATTTTCTTTTGTTTCTAGTTTGTTAGGCGACTACATAGTCATGATGAAAATGTTCCTGAGGAAGAGTCATCTGCTATGCCTAAGAAATTCTTTCAGATTCTGAATCAGGTATGCTAACATAACGAGGATGCTACGTTATGAGTGTAAATCTTGTTATGTGAGTTGCGTTGTCAAGACTGGTAACTCATTGCAGTTGAACCTGTTAAGACACACCTCTATTATCTGCAGACGAAGAAGAGAAAAAGTTTCAGCTTTTCTTATTCTTCTATTCCTTCCATTATTTAGCTTCCCTTCCTTCATTTGCAGTAATTCGTACAATTCTATAATACTCATGAATGTTCTGAGGTATTTCCGTTACTTATAAGCTACCCTTCGTTAGATTATTGAGGCGCTCTCAATTGTTCCTGTACCTGAACTAGCACTGAAGCTGTACCTGGAGTGTGCTGAGGTACTGGATTTTCCTTCAAACTGTGGAAGATAGTTTGTGTTTTTTTTTTTACTGACAAGCAGTTGTCTGTGTTGCTCAGGCTGCCAATGACTCTGACATAGAGCCTGTTGCCTATGAATTTTTCACTCAAGCTTATATACTATATGAAGAAGAAATTTCGGTATTATTTTATTGTGTCTCGATTTATATTATGGAATTCCTGGCCTGCTACATGTTTGCCTGAAAGCTTTAGTTGATTTTTCTGATGTTAATTCAACTTTTTTGGCAGGACTCCAAAGCACAGGTGACTGCAATACACTTGATAATAGGAACTCTTCAGAGAATGCACATCTTTGGTGTTGAGAACAGGGACACGTTAACGCACAAGGCTACAGGGGTAATTATCTTAGCATCTCCTATTTCCTTTTGCTGAAGTTAATCTATTACAAATTAATTATAATCACTGTTGCCCTTTTCACCCTCCAGTACTCTGCAAAGCTCTTGAAGAAACCTGATCAATGTAGAGCTGTGTATGCTTGTTCGCATCTTTTCTGGGTTGACGATCAGGACAATATCAAGGATGGAGAAAGGTTCATAGCTGTGCCTTGCGTGTTTAGGGGATAAAATATACATTCAAATATGCTATGTCTCTTTGGAGTTCCTTTTAGTTTCATGCTTTTCTGTAGCCATCTTCTTATGTGTTACTTATTTCCCCTATTGATTCAGGGTTTTGCTTTGCTTAAAGCGGGCCTTAAGAATTGCAAATGCTGCTCAACAAATGTCCAATGCAACCCGAGGCAGCAGTGGATCTGTCTTGCTCTTTATAGAAATTCTAAACAAGTAAAACCAACTCTTCATTCCTGTTCTTTTTACCTTCTCAACTACTGTTCTTTTGGAAGTCAATTTTACAAGAGATTCGTTTGTATAACAGGTATCTGTATTTCTTTGAGAAGGGGGTCTCACAAATTAATGTTGCCTCCGTCCAGAGCCTGATTGAGCTAATCACAACTGAAATGCAAAGTGAAAATACAACAGCAGATCCTGCAGCAGATGCCTTCTTTGCAAGCACCTTGCGATACATCCAGTTCCAGAAGGATAAAGGTGGTGCAGTTGGGGAGAAATTCGAGTCCATCAACTCATAATCAAATAGCATTTCTCAAAGGAATTACGTTCTTGGTGTCACAGAAGCAGCACATTTTTCTTACAAAGTACAAAATTGATTCCTTTTCAACTTGCTCTAGAGAAAAATGCATTTGACAACGGACTAGCAGAAGCAGCTGAAAAGATGCATATATACTGACCACACCCCTACGCAGTAATATCCTAATAAAGATTGTTATTGTTGTAACAATTTGCTCTCCAGCTATGACTTCCGAGTGCCTGCCACTGTTACTTTTTTTTTTTTTTTTGGTGGAGAGTAGGTTTTCTTTTGAGGTGGAAGAGACAAGGAGTGGAGAAGTAGTTCATTAATTTGTAGTTCAGAAATGTGATTATGACGAGTACTAGAATAATTTGTCCCTCAGTTTTGTATAACATGTTCTGTCCCATTTAACACATTTCGCAGACCACCAAAAACTTTTAAACAGATATTGCTCTAATGGTTATTGGAGCAATCTTTTGGTGGAAAATATGATATCATAAGGAACCAAGGAAGTCATTCATTTGAACCAATCAGTTCTGTTTACATATTTTTCTATATGAACATTTTCGTCTAGAAAAACATCACACACATTTCTCTCTATAAGACCTTAAGATTATTCAGTGGTCAACAAGAAATTATTTAAAGCAGAAAGAAGAAACAGTGTAGTTTAACAACTATAAGAAGGAATTCTCGAGAGAGAATCCTACTTCCAAACTCAATCATGTACATATGACTTGAAGGAAAGGATTATATGCATCATCAAGTTGAGAACAATTCTCTTGTTGAATAACAGAAAAAATAAAATCACCCTTTTTATTTAAAACGAATCCCGATAATATAAATACATCCAACCGTCACTGAATTCTCATTTTCATAGAGCAAAAGTTCTCCTGAACATATTATATATTGCTTGTAGCAATAATTTTGTGTTTGTTGAGACTCAGTTCATGGCATACTTTTGAGTCCAACTACGAGCCATTGACTCGTACTTGGTTTTATCAGTCTTGCACATATGAGCAATTTCTGGAACCAGTGGATCATCTGGATTTGGATCTGTTAGCAGTGAACATATGGACAGCAAAACCTTCATCCACAAAACCAACAGCAAATTGTAGAAGTTTATACTATATTGTTTTTGCAAGTTACTGGTCTTATTTTCAGGTAACTAGTTCCGTTTATATATGAACATTTAATTACAGTTATCCTTTATGCGACTTGGATTTTATTTTTATGTTAGCCAGCAACCAAACACTAACTAATGTGTATCCCTTTTGATTTATGAAATAGTAAATCATTGAGGAAAAGGAAGAGCTAGAAAGCAGTAGCACCTTGGATATGGTGAGGGCAGGACTCCATTGATCCTTCAGTATGTCCAAACAAATATTTCCATTATTGTTTATATTTGGATGAAAAACTCTGGTCCTGAAAGCCACCTGTCAATATATATATGAAAACTTAATATCAGCAGTCCCTTTGTGGAGAGTGATCAATTGAAAACATACCTTGGGAGGTTTGAAAGGGTAATCAGGAGGAAAATGGATGGTGACTTGGAAAACACCACCAGCATAAGGGCTATCATTTGGACCAATAATAGTTGCTTGCCAATGAAACATATCCTGAGCTACTGGACCTGAAAAATATTAGTATAACAAATCTTCAAAACTATCTTCTACTTTAAATTTGGGAAAATTACTAGTTGTAATATTGGTGTGTACCTGCACTGCATGAAGTGGGAGGGTCTCTTTGCAAGTCTTTTAGCTCCTTTTGAATTCTCCTGGATGCCATTAATAATGAGAAGACTTTAAAAGTTAAAAGGAGAGAAAAGATGTTGGTTTTATGAGTTATAGATATCCTCAATAAGTGGTAAAATGGAAGGGTATATATAAAGAAGGGAAGCTAAGAGAAAGAAAAAGAACTTTGTTAAGTGGTCACAAACATTGACATTGTGGTATTAGATTCTGTAGCAGAAAACAGTCTACTCTACAACTTTAAAAAAGAAGAATAGATGATTTTTAGCCTAGTGAAAAAACACAAAAAGATTATTCTTCAGCATAACTTTTTTAGGTTTTCCAAACAGACGAAATCCAATTTCAAAAGAATTTAAATTTTCCTTTCTAGTTTCCACTTTCCTCATTTTGCATCATTATTATATATAATATATCTTCCTATTTAGTCATCCATTTCTCAAGAAATACTCCGTGCCCACTAATTTTAACCTAGATTTTTATATTATTTTCAAATCAAGAAAATTTTAAGTGAAGAAAATCAAATTTAATTGTCTGGTTTTTTTTTCTAGAATCCCATGATAACCTGCGTTGTCACAGTTTCTGCCCTTTGGGTGAACATTCTTAGTGAGAACTGGATGAACTCCCAGTATATAATAGCCTGTAAATCACACATGGGATCAGTCAGTCCAAGTTATTGATGGATATTTACAAGATTTGTCCGCTTATTGTTGATTGGATGCTTAAAATCGTTATATAAAATATACTCTAGATAAGAGATTTTAATTGATATTTGTTTTTAGAAAGGGGGAGTGGGTGGGGGAGGCATAATTTTATTTAATGGACGGCATACATTATTCAAATATTGTGAGGCTACAGAATTTCACTCCATTTTTTTGAGTGAATATACACTTTATCCCCACCTCTCTGTACCATTTGCCTAATTTGAAAAAAAAAATATTAAAAAAAGACCATACAAGTGCCTGAATCAAACAACTTTAGCTTTATCATTTGGCACCATTACTAGTTACAGGATTACAGCACCCAATATATTCCACTATTATTTGCTGTTACCATATATATGATTTGCACTACATAAATGGACATAGAAAATCACTTGTAATTACTTTACGAGATTTATGTGTGTAACAGTTTTTTACGCTGCCAATGCCTAAACAAGTTATATTCTTTATCATAATACATTAGCAGAATCTCGTAATCCATTATAAAATATTACTACTACTAAGTCACAGGATTGACACATTTTATTCTCGATTAAAATAGGAATTGTACCTCGCCAGCTAAGAAGAATCTAATCAAACTGTATAATTTGGTATCTGGCAATCAAGTTGCCATGTTTGTAGAGTCAACATTCCCTATTTCATTTAAATTATGTAATGACAATATCATAGGATTTTGGTCAACTAACGTATTTGTTGTCCACGACCATATTATGCAAGTAGTGGATCACCTCGAATTAATTCTGGTATCGTATCCTTTTGGAATTTTTACAACTTCACAAACTTATATTCCTTTGCCCTTCTAACATAGAAAAATAGAAAATCAAATGAAAGGCAGAAAGGTAGCTTCATGATCAGGCCAAGAAAATAAACAGAATCTACTTCAACCGATATGTCCTTAGGCACACTGCCATACATAACATAGCAAACGATCTTTTTTCCCTTTCTCGTACCATTTACAATAAGAACTTAAGGAAGAAACTGAAAAATTTAAGGAGAAGCAAGAGCAGAATGATACTTGAAAGAAAATAGTAATATATTTGAATGCAATATCTAAAAAGAAACGTTTAATATGTTCAGAGAAATATGTTGTCAACATTGCCGGGAAAATTTCCTTTTTTTTTTTTTCTAACTGGATCATCAGGTCATTAAAATACATATAAAGCAAATCAGAACAGAGAGGGCACAATAGAGTGGCCTACGACAAAGGTGCTGTGTGACTAAACAATTAGAGATCACAGCCATTACACAGAAAACCGAGCCACCTGACAATTCAAGAGATCACTAGTAATTTTAAATGAGACATACAACATGGACCTCCTACTTCCTCCGAGACAAATGACAAAGGAATACGAGAGAGAGGTTACAAGGAGAAGTGTGACCAGTAATAACATTGGACCTACTGTTGATCACAAAATAGAACATGCCTTTTGGGACTTCCCCTTCTTTTTCTTCTGCTTGGGTGGCTGGAGCACGACCTTGATAGCGGCATCAAAGACTGCTTTCACGTTCTGCAGCAAGGACATTCCAACCACACAGGCACACACTTAACAAGATGCATCTAAAAAGTTACTTCAACACAAAAAATAAGATGCTGCCATAGAAAACATACCTGCTGTGTTTTTGAACTACATTCAATGTAAGCAGGTGCACCAATTGTTTTCCTCAGCTCTTCACCCTAAAAATTGAAACAGGGCTGAGTCAAAATAATAGGGGAAAAAAAGCAAGGTAAAAAAAAATCCAGCAAAGCATCAAAATGAGGAAGAGTAGGTGATCCTTACCTGAGCAGTGGTAATTGGCACAGCACCAGGATGGTCTACGAAGAATTGCTTATCATCCCGAAGATCTGCATCCAAAACAGGTAGAAAGTAGGATAATTAGGCTTTGAGATGCTTGAAAATCATCAGCAGATAAAAAGAGAAACAAAATAACAAAAAAATGAAATAAAAGTTAGACACAAGTCACACAACACAAGTCGTATCTTTCCAGTTCACGCTTGCCCAGTATAGTGAGCAGAGATTGCACTACTCCACACAAGGCGGTGGTTGCATTCAGATTCAAATTCAACTGCCATCTCCTCCTTGATTTAACTTTATCTTTAAAAAGAGAGATTAATTCCTATATATCAATTAAGCATTGCATTGATACCTATAGGAAGAGTTAATTCCTTCAACTCAATTATAAATGAGTACATTGAGCAAAAGCAAAAAGATTACCACATCTACTACCCACAAACCATTCACCAGCTATACCAGATAGAAAGCCCGCCATTCTCTTTATTCTCTCTTCAGCAGTTACCATAAATTTTGTATGAATTACTAAAACCACTTAGATCAATCAATCAATCAATGAACTACACCTTAATCCCAAATCGGTTGGGATCGGGCTATATGAGCCATTTAATTTCCATTCTATTTACGCTCACACAACTATAGGTTTCAAAGTTCACTCAACCAAGCAAGTTAGGTCATATGTGCTGAAACATCCTTATATTTCTATCGGAATTTGTTCTTTTTACCACTCAGAATTGAAGAACCAAGAGAAAAGCTTATAGAGACCAATTTGATCATCATCACACGCAGATATATGAAACAAAATAAGATCAGATCATGCTTAACGGAATTCTCACCTAGTTTTGTTCCAACAAGCACTATTGGAACACCGGGGGCATAATGCTTCAATTCAGGAATCCACTGGAAATATATAAACAAAACAAGCTTAGTATAGGAAATAAAAAACTCATCAACGCAATTGAAACAGAATGAGAAGCTCACCTTCTTGGCAACGTTTTCATAGCTGGCTTTACTAATGAGAGAGAATGCCAAAATGAAAACATCAGCTCCACGGTAACTCAGAGGTCTTAACCTATTGTAATCCTCCTGTCCTGCAATCCATATAAAACTCATCAGGCTCAATAAAATGTGGGAACAGAACTTTTAACATTAGATATATGTATCAAATCAGAAGCTCAGGAGCAAACAAAATGGTGTCTAAAATAGTTACCAGCAGTATCCCACAACCCTAGGTTGACAGTGCTCCCATTGACGACCACATTTGCACTGAAATTGTCGAACACGGTGGGCACATAATCCTGTCAAACATTTCAATTAAGAAGAGGAAAACAATTGATGTCGAGTCTTAAAGAACATGACCGAAAACCTTCTCACAGTAAACAAACATATGAAATACTCGAATGATAACACCACAACTTTCTCCAAATCCACAATGAAGTATAGGCACCAACCAAAGAGGAAAATTAATTTAATGTTCCAAAAATCATCAATTTAACGTAAGAGAGAATTATAATCCTTGGTTTCCTCATACATAGCACAAATTATCACAGATAGGTTGAAAAAAGGCATGTAATAACTTCGCAATAATGGAATAACTCAGCATATAATTACAAAAGGTGGCATAAAGCAGAAAAATTTTGAGAACTAAGAAACTTTCTCCAAGAGAACAAAGAAGATGCATTTTTTATCACCTAATAAATTTATAATAAGACATAAATTATGCATAGGTTAAAAAGTTGTCTGAAGCAAACAAACTTGTGAACCTATAAATTTCTCCACGATACCTTCTTTATACCCCATATAGAACTTGAATAACAAAAGAACAAAACCCCACAACCTTGCAAATAAACAAACAACAATTAACTCCCAATGCTCCACTTGGGCTCGTTTCAATTCCATTACTCAATAGTTGAAAAAAAGAAACAAGAGGCACCAATTTCTTTACAATGAATACCGTCAGAATATATATGCTGTTTTCGATCAATCAATTATTTAATCAAGAACCACATTAACTAAAAAAGATGCACAAGGGAATAAACTGGGTAAAGAAAAAACACAAACCGTGGGGAAGGTATTGCTGGTGTAAGAAATCAAGAGACACGTCTTTCCAACGGCACCATCGCCGACGGTAACACATTTGATAAACCTTGAAGCACTCATTTTTCCCGGCTATTCAGAAAACCAACAATAACCCTCCTCTTTTCAGATCTTCTTTAGAAGACCTGATCCCAGAAAAAATTTAAAAAGAAAAAAAGAGATTAAATGTGGTATCTTGGAGCTTCTTGTTTCCGTTTCTTTTAACCTCTCCAATTCCTTTCAATGTCGTTTCTTCAGAATGGCTTGAAAACCCAGCAGAGAAGAAAATCGAGACATGCCAATGGTGTTTTCTTTGGTTCTCTTGGTGAAACCCTAACCCTAATTCTACGAAAGGGAAAGTTCAGAGAGAATTGTAGAAGAGGGGAAAGGGAATAAGGTGAATGAAAATGAGAATAGAGAAATGGTAAAGAGAAAATGAGGAGAAATTTAGGGATCCCAGATCTAGAAAGAGAAAGTTTGAGGTAGAGAGAGAAAGGATGAAAATAAATGGGTGTTCATCTCTGTATTTTTTTCCATTCTGAGTCAGTATTATAAGTAACCCTTTGTTTTAGCCGGGAAATAATGCCGTTGAAGTTTTCATTCAATTATGTTTCTTTTTGTGGCTATTATTTTCGCTTATTCAAATTCAATTATTTTTTAAATGCCTCCACCATTAAATTTAGCTTTATATGTTAA